CAAGACTTTTTAAGCTTGAAGCAGAAAAAGAATCTATATTGTGTGTGCACTATAGTGTGCCAGCATGAATATTTTAAAGTGAAGAAGAATTTTTTGCCCTGGCCCTTAGGCTCGGTTGGTTGCTGGTTGGATTCCTTGTGCAGGAGGCAGCTGATCAGTGTTTCACTCTCACATAGATGTTTCTCTCTCTCTCTAAAAATCAGTCAATGGAGAGGCAGGGTAGAAAAGTAAAGATCTCACCATTAAGAAAACCATTAACTTGTGCTAGCAAAAACCTGGCAGTGACAGTTAACATGCTACTTTGCATGTTGATGATTGAAATTACTCACAAGGAAAATTACTCAGTTTTTAGACTTGATCTAATCAGGTCTGTCTCCATTTAGGTCTTTATTAGCTGAAATTCAATACTTTCTTCAGGCACAGAAGAAATACGAACAGAAAAATGTCTTTGTTCCATATTTTCCTCAATATGTTGGAAAACCTCTTCTACTTGATTTAAATATAAGTACATCACTACTACTTTGTCATCTATGCCTTTAATGTTGTGTAATTTATATATATATACGCACGCGTGTGTATACAGCACACCATTTATGTTTAACTAGTATCCCGGTGCACAAAATTCGTGCACAGGTGTGGTCCCTAGGCCTGGCCAGAGGTCCAAGTGTGAGCATCTGGTGGGGAAAGGCAGGTCTCAGCTGACCTCTGGGCCCTGGGCAGCAACTGGGTTCCCAGGCCCCTTTGCACGCCCCTCCACCTGAGTCACAGCGCCAGAGTCCCCATGCAGAAATGCAGTGAGCGCGGCCAGACACTGCAGGCTGGGCGCAGCGTGGACCTCTGGGCCACCCAGTGGCACCACATGGAAGCCAGTGGGCAGCATGCTCTTTCCCAGCCAGCCTCGCAGACCGGCTCCTGCACAAACCCACGTGGAGCCCAGCCAGCCCCTGCAGTCCCAGCAGCTGCAGCCCAGCTCACCTGGAAGCCCACTGGGGCCAGTAGTGCCTCCACTGCCCCCGCTGCCAGCACCTTGTTGCTGATGTCTGCCATGTTCTATGCCGCTCCCTGGTGGTCAGCGCACATCATAGCAAGTGGTCGAACTCCCAGTTGAGGGGATAATTTGCATATTAGGTTTTTATTATATAGGATGGAG